GCTTTCTAGCCATGGAATCCTAGAGTCCCAGAGACCTCAGGAGTCACCGCATCCAGCCCCCTGCCCAAAGCAGGACCAACCCCAGCTCAGCCACCCCAGCCAACACAGCGAGACCAACACCACGCATGGCGCTGGAAACACCGGGACCGCTCCCTGCAGGGCCCTGGGAAGGCGAGCCAGCAGGACGGCATAGGGCCCACTCTTTCTAGCCATGGAATCCTAGAGTCCCAGAGACCTCAGGAGTCACCGCATCCAGCCCCCTGCCCAAAGCAGGACCAACCCCAGCTCAGCCACCCCAGCCAACACAGCGAGACCAACACCACGCATGGCGCTGGAAACACCGGGACCGCTCCCTGCAGGGCCCTGGGAAGGCGAGCCAGCAGGACGGCATAGGGCCCACTCCACCACTGAGTGACCCTGGTCCATGCCTCTCGCCTTCCTGCCAGTGGGAGGGAGGTGACAAATCGCCCTGCGCGTGTCCTATCCCGTACCGGACACGAAGCCCCGGAGCCCCGGCTGTGAATTCGGAGCCAGAGGTGGAGCGGCAGCGCCGGGCGCCTTACCTCCGATTTCAGACGCTCAATCTCGATTTCCCCATCTTCAATCTGTTGTCTTAGTTGCTTGGCAACCGTTTTCTCGGTTTCCACAATCTGAAGTAAATGGAGGTACTTCTGCATTAAAGCTTCATGCTCTGTAGCAAGAGTCCTATAACTGTCGCACAGACACATCAGTTACAATGTTTCCTCCCCTTCCAGCCCCCCGCCCCTCCATCTCTGCGGGTCCCTCAGCCCGTGCTCCGGCGAGAAAGCCCAGCACACGGCGGGCGAGGGCTGAGACCCCCCGCCGGCCTGGCCACGCGGAAGCCGGCCGAAAGCTTGGCCCAACTATGACCCGCGGGACGCGGCTCCTGCAGGCGCTCGGGCCGTGCACGACTGTGCGCCTGGGAGCCCAGCGCAGGACCAGGCCACGGTGGCCGTGCTTCCAGCAGCCTGGCACGGAGCCGCTCCCAGCAAGGACCAGCAGTGGCAGGTGCCCTCCTGGGCGTGGGCATGGGCAGGCCTAGCTGCCAGGCTCCGAACTGACCAGCAAGGAGCTGTGAAGCTGAGCATTCGGCGCCCGGTTCCTCTCTCCCGCCAGGCAAGCTCCACGCATTTCCCAGTCGGAGTTTTCTTACCAACATCTCCCCCGGCTAAGAGCCCGCCCCGGGCATGTCTCTGTCCCTCCCCACAAACCCTGGTCCTCGCCCCGCCCCGGCCTGGGTGTCTCTGCAGGGCAGTGCAGGCTGCGCGGCTGCACCCGCAGTGCAGTCAATGGGCTGCCCACCCGTTCGCCAGCCAGGGAACAACCTACTTCTCTCGCCTTCCCGGCAGATGCGCTTCCGACCAGAACAAACACTGAACCCAGCGTGGCCAGGCGCTCAGATCAGAGCGAGGGACCCTGGGTCGGGGCCTGCCAGCTGCCCGCCCCCACACAGAGCGGCTTGCAGGGGCCGGGCTGGAGAATTCTTGCTCCCCCGCATGCGGGGTTTGACGCGGGGCCCCCTGCGCCCCAGCAGGGCGCTGCACTGCCGCAGCATCGGCCTCTTGCAAAAGCAAGCCCCGGGCGACCGGCCGCAGCCTGGCCAAGGCCGGTGACCGCTTGGCCCCCTGCACCGAGCCGTCGTTTTCAAGTCATGCAGCAGCTAGACGAGCTTCTGGCTCGGGCGCTGCCCCGCCGGCCCTGGCGGAAGGTGGTACCTGGCGTGCGTGATGGCCGCGACCCATTCGTCGCAGTCCTTGGCATCCTCTGTCCGCAGCTCCAGGGTCTTCTGACTGTCATGGCTGAAACTAACCGTAAAATAATGCTGCAAAAACAAAGGGAGCAACTAATCACGAAGAGATTCGGGCCCCGAGGAACCCACCTCTCGCCCCCTCCCCCTCTCGGCTGCCGGAGGTCTGCGTTGGCGCGGGGGCGGCCAGCAGCCCGCAGCCCCCCGAGGACAGG